AAAATAAGAGCTCTCTTTTGGCTTGACCGTTTTCTAGTATTACCTGTCTCTGCAACTTTGAAAGTTCATCCTCGGCTATCTTCTCCATCTCCATATCGTCAGCCGGTGTTGTCATTTTCTATGCGTTTGATAAACACCCAGGAAATTCTTGAAGTACCTACAAAACCCTTTAAATGTGATTACAGTTTGTACACTGGTCCAATCAGTTTGTTCACTGCTCCAATCAGTTTGTTCACTGGTCCAATCAGTTTATACACTGGTCCACTCAGTTTGTTGTGTGCTTAAGAATTCGGAGAAGGGTCGATAGGTTTAGTAAAATCGATATTGTAGGTTGCTTGGATACGTGTCCTACTTTATTTATTGCGCCGACCCGACAGACTTTGTCCGAACTTAAGTAAATACGCGATCGTGTGAATTATCGGGCAGCTTGCCTCATATTCTTGCCTAGAAAAGTTTATTTTTTAAATACCCTAATCGTCCCAACTGTTCCCAGATAAAACTCTTACCTTCTTCTTCTCGTAGGGATGCTAGAAAGCTAGCTCATGCTAGAGATTCATTATTTAATACTACAAACTATTCCCGAAACATCGACTATCAGTTCTATCGCGATTTTTTTACTAAAATCTACCTAATTAAAAGTATCTAATGCTATTTTAAATTATTATGCTGTTATAGTTTTTTTTATACAACGAACCGCCTTTTTTTTATCAATGCATGCAGTCGGTACCTATAATTGTGTTAGCATTTAGTGTGAAATCAATGTATATGATACCTGTTAATGTTCTGTGGTGATGTATAACATGTTGGTATCCAATAAATAAAATAAAATAAAAAATAAATTTTTTGGATGGAAGGATAGCTTTGGGACCAGGATAGAATTGCGAACTCAAGGGTTCAGCCAGGAGGTAAAAAGATCAGCTGTTTTCAACCGTACGTACCATGGGGAGTGCTAAAAGGAATTGTTTGAGACGATCCTATGAACTCGTTTTTACCATCGCACTGCCCGCCGCCAAAGCAGATACATCCATACTACTATACAGAACCACATATATACCAATTTCCATTAAACGGTAATGATAATCTATTTTATATTATAACTTGTACCGGTCCGCTTCGCTGGGCATTTAAAATTAACATTATTATTTCTCACCCCCACAAACATTCTCATCATTAACGCCTCCGCAACTGGTGTAGGGAGTCCAACACTCGTATAAATACTAGCCTATCCATTAAGTATATGTATTTTCTACATAGATACCAAGTTTCAAGTCAATCGGATGCATGGTTCAGTAGTTATAACGGAACATCCGTAAAAACCACTGTAGATTTATAAATCTATAAATCTATACTAATATATATATTATATATTAGTATAGATTTATCGCCTATATCGGTGAACGAGCTCACCGCCTATCTGTTGTTAAGCTTGTATACATCAACACTTAATGCCGCCACCTTTTTTCCTAGTCTTAGTTGAATGAGTACTATAAAGGCTGTCTTTCAGACTCAAACGACAGCTGTGTTAGAAATTATGTAGGTATTATACAGTAACAACTCCTTTATTTATACGCGCTTCCTTAATTCGCGGATTAAAAAAATGCGACCCAATTCCTGTATTCGCGGTACATCAGTAAATACACATTGATAAAAAGGGTTTTGACTTTTGGGTTATAAAAAGGGTTTTGGTTTGGGTTTTGATTGATTGAATATGTAGGTTTTTTGTTTTTTTTTGTTTTTTTTTTTTTACACGCCACGTTAACTGGTCCCGTGATAAGTTCGTAAAGAACTTGTGTTACAGGTACCAGATAACGGATATAAATATAAGATTTTTATTATACACATACATATATTTAATATACATCCATAACCCTGGAAAAGACATTTATATTTATCATACAAATATCTTCCCTTGGCGGGATTCGAACCCGCGACCCCCTTGTGTAGTGACCATGTCACTTACCACTACACCAGACGGCCGTTAGGTTACGTTAGGTATCCAACTGAACTCGGCTACGACTGGGTCTTGCGTGGCGCCCTAAGCACTCCTCTCCCGGGTCTGAGCGTAGTTTGCTACGCGGACGACACTTTGGTCGTGGCCCGGGGGAGGGACTTGCGAGAGTCTGCCCGTCTTTCCTGCGCGGGGGTGGCCTTCGTCATCGGCAGGATCCGAAGGCTGGGTCTGGAGGTGGCGCTCGATAAATCCCAGGCCCTGTTGTTCCACGGGGCCCGGAGAGCGCCGCCTCAGGGGGCCCACCTCGTGATCGGAGGCGTTCGCGTCGAGATCGAGGCGACCGGGTTGCGGTACCTCGGTCTCGTACTGGACGGTCGTTGGAGCTTCCGCGCTCACTTTGAGAGATTAGGTCCCCGACTGATGGCGGCCGCCGGCTCGCTGAGTCGGCTGTTGCCGAACGTCGGGGGGCCTGACGTGGTGGTGCGCCGCCTCTACACGGGGGTGGTGCGGTCGATGGCACTGTACGGGGCTCCCGTGTGGTGCCACGCCCTGACCCGCGACAACGTTGCGGCGTTGCGACGTCCGCAGCGCGCGATTGCGGTCAGGGCGGTTCGTGGATACCGCACCGTCTCGTTCGAGGCGGCGTGCGTGCTAGCTGGGACGCCTCCCTGGGACCTGGAAGCGGAGGCGCTCGCTGCGGATTACGCGTGGCGATGCGATCTCCGCTCCAGGGGGGAGCCGCGTCCTGGCGCGGCGGAAGTTCGAGCGCGGAAGCTTCAATCTCGGCGTTCCGTGCTCGAGGCGTGGTCTCGCCGCCTGGCGGACCCCGCCTACGGGCGACGGACCGTCGAGGCGATCCGCCCGGTCCTCTCGGACTGGGTGAATCGCGACCGAGGACGTCTCACCTTCCGAGCGACGCAGGTGCTCACGGGACACGGCTGTTTCGGTCGCTACCTGCACCTCGTCGCCCGGAGGGAGCCGACGCCGAAGTGCCACCACTGCAGTGGCTGCAACGAGGACACGGCGGAGCACACGCTCGCGTACTGCCCCGCTTTCGCGGAGCAGCGCCGCGTCCTCGTTGCAAAAATAGGACCGGACTTGTCGCTTCCGACCGTCGTGGCTACGATGCTCGGCAGCGACGAGTCCTGGCAGGCGATGCTCGACTTCTGCGAGTCCACCATCTCGCAGAAGGAGGCGGCGGAACGGGAGAGGGAGAGCTCTTCTTCCCTCTCGGCACCGTGCCGCCGCCGTCGGGCCGGGGGTCGGAGGAGGGCGTTTGTCCAGCTCCAGCCCCTATGAGGAGGCAGTCTCCTCCCGGTGATGGTCACGGGGCGACCTAAGGGGGTTGAGGCTGCGCCGCACGCTACCGTCACTCTAGCGCGCTGGCACCAGGAGGACGGGACGGCGCGTCGGCGGCTGCGGACTGCGATGCGGTCCGCATTTTCGTCGTCGCTGTCGTCGCCGAACATACTGTTGAAGAGCAACCCGGTCGGCGGTGTATCGCGTTCCGACCCGGCAGGCTGGTTCTGGCCCAGCGGGGTATCCCGGAACACCAGCGGCACCGCCCGGGCGGCCTGGTAGGGCCGCCGTACCGCGGAGACTGACGTCGTTGGTCGTCGACTATCGCCTCGACGACCCGTCAGTCGGGCGTCCTCGGGGTGGCGTGACCTTAGAACTTATATCTCAAGGTGGGTGGCGCATTTACGTTGTGGATGTGTATGGGCTCCAGTGACCACTTAACACCAGGTGGGCTGTGAGCTCGTCCAACCATCTAAGCAATAAAAAAAAAGAAAAAGAAAAAATACGCTTTGAAAAACATCGATTCGTACAATAACCATAATAATAGCCTCTTTTGGTATTATGAGATCATTTCCCGACTTAGTCAGCATTAATAAAAAAGTTTTAAAATTTGTTCAATTTTAATCCTCTCTCCATATTACCTTGATATTTGTTGTCCTTGTCTAGCACTAAGGTTTTTGAATCACCTGATTGTTTGTCTCCGTTGCACCTGGTGAATTAAGGCAAAGATTAGATAATAATGACAGACCAGTTTTGTTGATAAAGCTTAATATGAAAAAAATCAATTCTGAGTGTAAAGTGATGTTAAATTGGTACGTATTTTTGGAAATTTTCAGCAATTTGCTTAATTAATATGTAACACCATCTATGTCTATGAGTTGATAAAAAAGTTATGTTATTTTATGTTACATTTTTAAAATATCGGGCTACGAAATAGAATGTTTCTTTATGGATTCTTTTCTCTGATACTATACTAACAATTATTTTATTTTATTTTATTTTATTTATTAAACACACAATACACATCACAAGCTAAAAAGATACATAAAAACACAAGTAAAAAGAAACAAAATCTGGCTTACAACATAAGCCATGTGCGCACGACTACGCAAGACAAAGTGCTGAGTTTGTACATAGTGGTCCTTACATCTATACGACAAAACAACACGATAATAAAAACTAATCTAACTTTTAATGTAAGGAAATAATTTTATTCACAAGCTACAATTAAACAATTACACTACTTAACTTCAGTAGTAGTTTCTTTTGTAAACTTAAGCAATACTTATTAAGGACATCATTCATGGTCGTAGAACGGATAGGTGTAATAAAGTGAGTTCTAACCCACAAACCACAGCCCACTGAGTTTCTCGCCGGATCTTCTCAGTGGGTCGCATTTCCGATTAAGTGGTAGATTCTGCGAAGCACTGCTCTTGCTAGGGCTAGCGTTAGCAACATCGTCAGGTTTGAGAACCGTGAGCTATCCTATTAGCCCGGCGACGCTGACATGGTCTCTCTAGACCAGCGGTCGGGGAACATTATTAATTATTGCCCCAATTTTTTTTGTGTATTAACAAAAAAAAAACTTGTTAGGCTACGCAGACATAGCCTCTCAAGGCTACCTAGCCTTAGATAGGAAGAAAAAAGTAATAAAAATAAAAAAAAGATATTTTTTTTTCGTCTCTTATCGTTGCCTAATCTTTGAGCATCGCAACGCGTTCCGGCTCGGGAGGTTTCGTACAGCGTTGTTGTGACCGATCCGTTGTCGAGGCAACATCGGCGCTGTGGTTCGCGCCGCGCGTTTATTGACATAACAATATTAACCGCGATACGTGCTCCGCGCTGTGCTGTGCTGTGTCAGTGTTGTGAAAATGTTACCGTAACATTAAAATGGCATTAAAAAAGGATTTCGATCTGCCGAAGAACATATTCAAAATCAAAATCCCAAAAAACGTGAAAGTCCAACAGGCGTTCGAAAAAATATTCAAGAAGAGTAACTACACTAAAATCGCGCAGAGTTAATTCGGTTTGTTAACGTTTTATGTTTCATGTTAAATGGCCGGTGAGTTTAGTGCTTATAATATCAGTAGAAGTAGAAATTCTGAAATAGAACCGCCCGATCGTGACCAGTCCCCAAATTTCATAACCGATGCCACTGAGTTTATCGGTAGAGGTGATATAAGAAATTCGACCCCAATAAACAAACACCGGAGAAGCAGAAGCAGAAGTGGCAACAGAAAGACCCCCATAGCTCTCAGCTTGTCTGATGAGAACTTCTATGAAGAACTAGAGGAATACGTCAGAGAAATGTCGGCGGTTAGAGATACAAGCGCGAATATGGACGCGAACACCGAGCAAGACGTGTGGACTCAACTACAGCAGAAGGAATCTGACCTTCTGCTTGCTGCGGAACTGGGGAAGGCTTTGCTAGAGAAAAACGAAGAGCTAAAGAAGGAACAAGAAAGGATCGCTGAGGAGTACTCCAAAAAAGTCGAGGTGAGTTATTTGTGTTCTAACTTTTTCTTTTACCTAACTTTTATTGCTTAAATGGGTGAACGAGCTCATAGACATCTACAACGTAAATGCCGCCACTTACCTTGTGATATGAGTTCTAAGGTCTCAGTATAGTTACAATTATTAGTTATTTATTACACAACAATATTATTATTATTGTTATACCATAAGCAGAATAATATTTAACAAATGCCGTGTTTATTTAGTTTTGATTAACTTAAAATAACATACAAAGAAAAATACTTTAATTTATCTAAATGTTGTTTTGGCGACGTTAACGGTATTAAAGAAATATAACGTTATAATTTCGGTAACATGCGCTGTTTTACACCTTTATGTTTAAGCTTGCAAGTAAGAAATCGAGACTAACTGCTAACAATGAGCTATAGGAATCTCAGTTCTATACACTCTGGTATAAATGTCATGTTTCTCTGATTTAGTATTAGCGTTGCTACATTTAAGGATTGCGTTGTGTGAATGTTGCAATTCGAAGCGAACTATCTCGATTTCGGATGAATAAAAAGTTTTAATGAAAATCAAAATATATACCTACATGTGTTTTTTTATTCCCGTCGATGGGCATATAATGCGCATGGTAAATGGACGCCGACGCCACCCAAAACACGTCATCTCGGATCCTCCCGAATCACTAACGGTGCTTTTAGGTACCTCAAGCACCGGTCATCGTTCTCGTCGAACCCGTCGCTTGCGACGAAGGGCTTGGCGAGTAAATTAACCCATAGACACAGCCCACTGAGTCTCTCACCGGATCTTCTCAGTGGGTCGCGTTTACGATCCGGTGGTAAATTCTGCGAGGCACGGCCCTTGCTAGGGTTCGTGTTAGCAACATATTCAGGTTTGAGCTCTGTGAGCTCACCTAATAGCCCGGCGACGCTGACATATTCTCTCTAGAGTACTCTAGACCATCAGCTTAGGTAGGAATAAAAAAAAAGTAAATTGTTGCTACAGTCCTTGGACACCGGCGAGCTAAGCTTTATTATTCATTTAATAAAACTAGTTTTTAATGACGAGTTGTATAGCTGGTCACAATGAAACATATTATCGTTTTATTTAATGATTATTTCCTATAACTGATGAGTAAGAACTCAATGGCAGGTTGTAAATTAGTGATAATTATAACGATTTCTTTACGTTTTTTCAAATATTAATTCATCTTACAATATACTTTTATAAGCCGTGGCTAAAAAGGTAAGATGTCCGGTCTATTCGTATAGATAGACCGATGCGCCTATGAAATCCCGAAGGCAGGTGCCAATTTTTCTAAACAAATATCTACTCAAAATATGTTCAGGAATTTCTTCCACATATGAGAAATTACACAATACTTAATTACTGACAGCAGTGAGTCCGCACGGGTAGGTACCACCATTTTACCTATTTGTGCCACTAAGCTGTCATGCGTTCCGGTTGTGTAATGCAATTCATACTACGACCTCATGTCTTAAGGTGTTTTTTTTTAAATTGCCGTCACTCATGGACATCAGCAATGTCAGGGGCAGAGTCAAGCCGCTGCCTACCGTAATATGCACAATGTCATCTCTATGGGCTCCAACAAAATAGTTTATTATGATAGTCATAAGAATCCTATAAGATTATCGTGAGCCGCAGATGTAATTTAAATATACAGTTTTATTGTTTAACTAGCGACCCGCCCTCGCTTCGTTTCGGAAACTGTAATTTATTATTGATTTCTCAACTATTTAATGGATGTTATTATACATATAAACCTTCCTCTTCAACCACTTTTTTTCTTTTATTTATAACTAGCGACCCGCCCTCGCTTCGCTTCGAAAACTGTAATTTATTATTGATTTCTTCACTATTTAATGGATGTTATTATACATATAAACCTTCCTCTTCAATCGTTCTATCTATTTAAAAAAACTGCATCAAAATCCGTTGCGTAGTTTTAAAGATTTAAGCACACATAGGGACGGACAGATATAGGGACAGAGAAAGCGACTTTGTTTTATACTATGTAGTGATTTTATTTTAACTCATACTTTTTACAATTTCCCAATTTATTTATTTATTTGGGAAACAAACAGTACAATACAAACATATAATATTTTAAAAAATATTACTAATACAATAACCAAATATGTTTCCACAATCAAAATCACATATACTTAAGTAGCCCCGGTTCAGCTGCAGCTTCAGCAGAAATTACAAAAAAGCGGAAGTATTCGGGTTTGGGGTCTTCTTATTCTTTTTTGCCTTTCGCGGTTGAGACGATGGGCCCTTGGGGCCCTGAAGCAAAGAAATTTTTAACAGAAATCTCCAAACGCTTGAAGGAGGTTACACATGATGCTAAGGCTGGCTGGTACTTTGCACAGAGAGTGAGTCTGGCTGTCCAACGAGGCAACGTAGCCAGTATCTTGGGGACTGTGCCTCCTTCAAGCNATTCTTTTTTGCCTTTCGCGGTTGAGACGATGGGCCCTTGGGGCCCTGAAGCAAAGAAATTTTTAACAGAAATCTCCAAACGCTTGAAGGAGGTTACACATGATGCTAAGGCTGGCTGGTACTTTGCACAGAGAGTGAGTCTGGCTGTCCAACGAGGCAACGTAGCCAGTATCTTGGGGACTGTGCCTCCTTCAAGCGCGTTAGAAGATCTGTTCTACTGTGTGGGTTTGAGTTATGTTAAATTATTTTGATTTGACTTTTTGTTAATAAATGAAAAAAAAAAAACTTAAGTAGATAAGTGAACAGAGAAGAGAAATTTAGAAATTTAAATTACAAAAAAACAAAAGCAACACAATACGCACATATTATTTTATACATCAACTTACACTATAAAACTATAATACTCATCGGACTAAATCACCTCATAAATATTTTAAGATAGCTTTTCTATATGCTACAAGTGACAAGCAAAAGATGTCAGCATTAGAGAACTTAGCATCATACAACCTACAAAATATACGGACAAAAGAATTAGAAGCATATTTCGTTAGAGCCGTGGACTTGTGGAAGGTCTGTTTAGAACGCGCGGAACTACGACTACATTTAAATGAAATTTTGGAAAGAAGATAGCTAGAATCAATCTCGTTATTTATTATTTTATATAAAAACATTTGATCCCTCAGTAGCCTATTTCGAATGTACTATACAATTTTCGCAGTCACAGATGCCTATTAATTTAATTACTGCTTACATTGTTCTAAGCAAGTCAATTCGTGCATCCACGATTTGCATGAGATTAGAAAAACTAATTAACTTAAATCTGAAGGCTTAAAATAACGTGAAAAAATCGGACCGTGAAGAGGAAGACAAATCACCGTTCAACATTCGTCAATCAGATGAAAATAAACAACAACAAAAAATACGTCCACTCAAACTGCGGGGAACTTCTGAGACATATCTTGTGACATGTAGGCTAATATCTTTACAGATTGTCTCTATTAATTCACGTAATTAAGTGAAAATATTAAGAAATGAAGGGATATTTATTGATTTACTAGCTGATCCGGCAGACTTCGTAGTACCTCAATCGATAAATAAAAGACCTAAACTTTAGTATAAAATAAACTTAAAACAAACAAAAGCAATCCATCCGATGGGGGACACATCAAAGGGAAAACAAAATTGTTATTTTTATTTAATTCCGAGCTTTTTCATATTTATCTACCTTTTAAACCTTCTCTGGACTTCCACAAATAATTCAAGACGTGTTGAACTCCCTACACCAGTTGCGGGGGCGTTAATGATGAAAATCTTTGTGGGGGTGAGAAATAATAATGTTAATTTTAAATGCCCAGCGAAGCGGACGGGTACAGCGAGTTGTAGCCAAGAACGTAATGTTTTAAAAACATTTGCCGATTATCTACGTACTCCGGGAATAACTGTAAGATCTAGTCTTTGATGTCGCACTGAATTCAATATCACCTCGGATAATAATAACGGCTCGAGATAAATCGCTTATCGACGTGCTATTCGATAAAAATCGTTTCAGATAACAAGACTTATGGTTTTCTTATGGAATTTCGAATTCTTCGAATTTATATTATTATGTTTATCGTAATGTTTTGTTCGCGATTTCGGGTGATAGTATGATGTATGATGACTTAACGAAACAGGAATGATCTAAAGTCGTATAGAATTTCTTTTAACGTGTTTCTTTTTCTCCTACCTATGCTGATAGCCTTGAGAGGCTATTTCAGCTTCACCCTAACATGTAGGTGAGCTCACGGGGCTCAAATCGGAAGTGTTGCTAACACTGGCCCTAGCAAGAGCAGTGCTTCGCAGAATTTACCACCGGATCGGAAACGCGACCCACTGAGAAGATCCGGCAAGAAACTCAGTGGGCTGTGTCTATGGGTTAACACGGTGACCGGTGCTTGTGGTGCCTAAAAGCACCGTTAATGGATCGGCAGGATCCGTGATGACGTGTTTTGCGCGACGTCGACAGTGTTTTTTTAACGGGCTTTTTTTTCTTTCATTTCCTGACTCGGAGCATCCTAGTCGTAGAATGTTCTATTCATATTTTTATGAACGAAAAATAAGCGATTTTCATTGTTTTCCACTATCACAACAAACCGCCGAGTGTGTGGCGGTTTGTTTAATAAATGATTCATATCTCGATAAAAAACCATTTCTCCATCGACTCATGGCTTATAAAACGTGATAAGACTATCACGAATTGTAATACGTATATAGATGATCGTAATACGTATATAATACGTACATGAAATTTTGATGGCTTATTTCGTTGAAAGAAATATTTTTTATTAGCTGGCGTGTTTTTTGTTTTATTGATTAGATGTGTAAACGAGCTTACAGTCCACCTGGTGTTAAGTGGTTACTGGAGCCGTAATAAAATAATGAGAACTCACATAGAATTCAATGGAGTTTTAGGAAGGACCCGATAAATAGCGTCCAGTGAATCTGTTACATTTTCCCACGCTAAGCTTCCTTCCTTCACAAATGCTAAGCGGGTAACAAGCAACTATTATTCACCAAAA